GCGGCTGCAGCTGTGTCCGCATCTGGATGTGGCTGATTGTCGTCTGAGGTCAGCAGTTCAGATATGAAGCAGGAAACATTCTCCAGGTCCTGTCTCGTTTTGAGACAATCTGTGGTCTTAGACGTGTACTTTTCAACCTGTGTGCTTGACAGGTGATCGGCTGATTGACTGTCTAAAAAAGAGAACTGGTCCCCGCTGGAGTGAAGTGGGAGATTAATCGGACCCCCCGCAGGGCGAACTCATGTCCCCCACAAAATATAATACAGTCCACAGTCTGTGATAGTGATTGCCACAACAGCAGAGATGGCACCACTACACCACTCGGCACACAGCAGCGTAAACCTCACAATTGAGGAGCATGAGGTGAGGCACACGCTGCGGGAGGTCAACACTTGGAAGGCGGCTGGTCCTGATGGCGTCCCGGGACGCGTGCTGAAGGACTGTGCTGATCAGCTGGCCGGAATCTTCACAAAGATCTTCAACCAGTCCCTGGAACAGTCCACTGTCCCACCCTGCCTGAAATCCTCAACCATAGTCCCACTGCCCAAGAAACCTCACATCTCTAGCCTCAACGATTACAGACCAGTAGCACTCACCCCAGTGGTGATGAAGTGCTTTGAGAAACTGGTCTGTAGTCACATCACAGCTGCCCTGCCCCGCAGCCTTGATCCCCACCAGTTTGCCCACAGAGCGAACCGATCTACAGAAGTCCCTTGCTCTACTCCCTCTACACACACGACTGCTCCCCTGTCCATCACAGCAACACCATGGTGAAGTTTGCGGATGACACCACAGTGATGGGGCTCATCTCCAGGGGCGAGGGTGAGTCTGCCTACAGAGATGAGGTGGAGCGGCTGTCAACATGGTGCAGGGACAACAACCTGCTCCTCAACACCTCAAAGACCAAAGAACTCATCATAGACTACAGGAGAAATAAAACAGAGATCCCACCATTAATCATCAGCGGGGACTGTGTGGAGAGGGTGGCAGACTTCTGCTTCCTGGGGAGTCCATATCCAGGAGGACCTTTCCTGGAGTGTGAACAGCTCTGAGCTGTTGAAAAAGGCCCAGCAGAGACTGTACTTCCTGAGAATACTCAGGAGGAATAACATCACACAAAGACTACTGGTGTCCTTTTACCATGCCTCCATTGAGAGCATACTAACATACTGCATGTGCGTATGGTACACCAGCTGCACAGCGGCTCAGAGGAAAGTGCTCCAGAGGGTCATCAACACCGCTCAAAAGATCGTCGGCAGCCTCTCCCCACACTGGAAGAACTACACAGTTCCCGTTGCCTCAAAAAGCCCAGAACATCATAAAGGACACTCACCATCCTGGTCACTCCCTGTTTGAACTGTTGCCTTCAGGCAGGCGGTACCGATCATTTAAAGCAAGGACAAATAGACTCAAACACAGTTTTTATCCAACTGCAGTAACTACCCTCAATGCTGCAAAAAAATAATATGCAATGACTGGGTGTGTATGACTGTGTGTCTATGTATGCTGCTAATTATGTTATATGGTTTTATTTTATTAACACTAGCACTTAAATTATTTAGCACTTTAAATTATTATTTATTATTTTTTAAATGTGTGCTAAATTAAGCACTGATCGGAGAGCACTTTAAATTTCGTTATACCTGTGACAATGACAATAAAGGTCTATTCTGTTCTTCTATTCTATTCAAAACGATATGTTCTAAGGTTTTTAATAACAGTTTTTCATCTTACTGTAAAAGATGGGGGGGGGGCTTAGCCCTGTTAGCCCATATATACCAGCCGTCCCTGACTGTATATACTTTTCTTTAATAGTCAATATATTTTATTATATTTTGTAATATTCTCATTTTGTGATCCTATTGTACTTCCACTTCAGTAATCTTTGCACTACATTCCCCAATGCTGCTGTGGGTAATTTCCATTTCTCCTACGGGGGATCAATAAAGGTAAATGTCACTTATCTTATTATAACCTTCATCCAGGGAGGATTTATTGCAAGACTGTTGCATTAGGCTGCATTAGTTTCAGCTAGGTGGACCTGATAATGTCGCCAATTATTGTACATCTATATCAAACTAAGAGTAAAACCAGTTGTGAAACAATATGTTAGTTCAAATAAAATCAGACTTGAACTGAAAAAACCTTTTGTACTTACAAAATCTGAAACAAAAGTAGGAAATGTTTTCAGTTTTTTGTCTCAATTTGGTCAAATTTGACAACACAACGAGCATAAAGAGGCGTTGGTGCCTGTTTATTGATAATGGGATGTCTACATGACTGTGTTCACAAAGTGTTGTGTTTGTATTGTAATATATTCTAACTTATATTATAGTTTAAAAAAACTAAAGCTAATACTGAAACTAATAAAAACTAAACTATTTCAATAACATTTCAATAAATGAATTGAAACAAGCAAACCTCTGTAAACTAAAGTGAATGCAGTCAGTCGGTATGAGGACTTAATAAATGTATATTTGAACATTTCTGTTCAATGTGTAAAGGACAGTGAACACAACACATTTACATTTACAATCTCTTTGTCTCACTCAAAAGTTTATTGTTCATTTAACTGAACAGTTGCAAACAATATGTCTCCACTCTGCAGCCTCATGCTCTTAAAACGTTTAATCTAACAACAACATACAGAGTCTGTACAATATACTACTCTACTATTAACTCACTACAACCTTTATAATATCGATTATTGATGTTAGACAATCAGAGGGGGGTGCACCGGTCCTGGAAGTACTGCAATACCAGGTCGATGCGTGGAATGGACGGAGCAAGCCCCTATTCCATCTCCCAGTTCCAAAAATCAATTTAATATATGGTCCCCGGGTAGGGGACGTATCAGATATTAAACTGATAAGAACAGATACTACACTTGATCTTAGCCAAAAGGCCGAGAAGCGATACTGAACTACAGTCGGAGGTACGGAGCTCTTTCTCCGCACCGGGACCCTCACTGACGGTGTTAATGAATGCTTCACTAACAGATAGATATATGATTCACTGTGTGTTAGATAGAGATATTAATATAGATATAGAACACACAGTCAATCAGTAAAAGGGGACAAATCAGCGTCAAATGTGGAAGTTTAACAAAATACGGTTGTCGGAGCAACCGCGATTCACAGCGCTTCCGGGTCATGTGACACAATGTGGTCCAATAGGGAGTGGAAACGTTCCGCTGTGTTATTGTCAGAAAGAGAGCTGTAACTTCTATTTTAAATCAAACTAACATCATATGAATCATACAGCGATAAAATAAAGTTTAAATCCTATAAAAGTCCTCTCTGAGAGTAAAACACAATGTCTGATCTGTTAACTCCCTCTAATGGAGAACAGAGAGAACTGCACCCTGCGGCTGAATATCGTCCACATCTTCATCATCATCATCATCAACTGCTGACTCTTTGTCCGGATACAACGACTCCACAATAACATCATGTAACGTTAGTTTACAAACGGAGCTTCCTTCCTGTTCCTAACGGTTACAACACTATTAAAGGAACTTCTCTCCTCCAGAGTTTATTATTCAACATGTATATCAGGGGTCAGCGCGAACGCAGTCCCCCACTACCACAAATTATGCAGTCGAGATTCCCACATTTGGGGAATTCGTTGAGGTCAACCCAACCGGAGTGCAATGGTCAGGCCTCGCCCAAGGTGAACCACCTTCTTGATCATGGTATCTCCCCTGCCAGGTAAGTATGAGTTGTCCAGCTCAGAGACAGGGATCTCTCTCACAGACACACCGTGTTAACTGATGGTGCTAATAATCGATATATTACTGAAACCAGAGGATGTAGAAGGTGAGTGAAACTGCAGAACATAATACAGAAGATACAGTTTTCAACTAAAGCTGATAAAGATTATTTAGATTTTACTTGATATATAATGGTTATATTTCCCACAATGCAATGCTGTATCCCCACATCAACAGCTAACCTGAAATCAGCAGTTTGTTTCTATTTTACCTCCAACAAATGAACAACAGTCCAACAACAAGTTCAAGTGAGACAAAGCTGAATCAAACTGCAATCAGAGGCTGTTTGATCCACATTTACAATCCAGAAAAAAACAACTAAAAACACTAAAAACACTAAAAACACTTTTTCTCCCACACTTTACAACCACTTCCTGTTTCTTTGTCTCCCGGGCAACGGGGCCGTCCTGTTACTGCCACCTGCTGGTCTGGAGTGAATCAGGATTTTCACAATAAAGTTCAACAGCGACACAAACTGCAGCCTCTAAAATGATCATACAGTTGAATCAACACAAACTGAACATTATAACCTCCATTAGAGGAGGATTTATTACAGAGCTGTTGTATTAGACTGCATTTTACTGTTAACCAACTACAGTCTTTAAAATATCGACAGTGAACACAACACATTTACATTTACAATCTCTTTGTCTCACTCAAAAGTTTATTGTTCATTTAACTGAACAGTTGCAAACAATATGTCTCCACTCTGCAGCCTCATGCTCTTAAAACGTTTAATCTAACAACAACATACAGAGTCTGTACAAGATACTACTCTACTATTAACTCACTACAACCTTTATAATATCGATTATTGATGTTAGACAATCAGAGGGGGGGTGCACCGGTCCTGGAAGTACTGCAATACCAGGTCGATGCGTGGAGTGGACGGAGCAAGCCCCTATTCCATCTCCCAGTTCCAAAAATCAATTTAATATATGGTCCCCGGGTAGGGGACGTATCAGATATTAAACTGATAAGAACAGATACTACACTTGATCTTAGCCAAAAGGCCGAGAAGCGATACTGAACTACAGTCGGAGGTACGGAGCTCTTTCTCCGCACCGGGACCCTCACTGACGGTTCACAGCCCGACGGAACAACGTGAACACAGTCGACACAAATACAATAACAATAAAGTAAAGTAAAGTAAAGTACAACAAACTACAGTCGGAGAAAATGTCGCAGAATCGCTAAAAATAAAGAAAGTTTAAAGAAATAACTTTACCAAACGCGGCTCGTCGCCACTTCCCGATCACGTGTTGTCTCCTAATCCAATCAGACGCTTTCAGCAACGTCACAACCCAAACAACTTTTTTTTTATTTTTTTATATATCAACTTTATTTAAATATTCGATTTACAAATTATGTCAAACAATAACACATAACACAATACATATGAGCTGTTTTACAGATACAAAAACAGGGTCAAAACAACCCAAACAACCGTCTGTTCATAAATATCACTATTTACATATATACCGTATTGACCCGAATATAAGACGGAAAAATACTTTTCACTGGGTTCCTCCTCCTCACTCGCACTGTCGTTGTCGCTGTCTGCCGCTGCCGCCGGCAGGCTAACACACCCACTCCAGCCGACTTGTTTACTGTACATGCTTGTTTACAGGATCACGTTAGGGTCACACTGCACTAAACGCTGACGGAGAGAAAAGCGCTCATATGGCGCTACCTATTGTTTTACATGGGTTACTCCTTAGACCCCGAATATAAGACGAGGCGTCATTTTCAGGCATTTTTCAAGGGAAAAAATATCGTCTTATATTCGGATCAATACGGTATATCACTATTTATAGATATATATCACTATTTATATATATATATATATATATGAATTATTTTGGTAATAAATAATAAAGCATAATAACAGTCTGAATAAGTGAGTGTAACTTCTGTGTGGTATATTACTGTCTGACAACAACAGGAGAGAATATGGAGAAGAGTTACAACCACTGACTGTATATTTCTGCACATTAATGGTTTTTAGATGATTTCTTTTCAACATGTATATCAGGGGTCAGCGCGAACGCAGTCCCCCACTACCACAAATTATGCAGTCGAGATTCCCACATTTGGGGAATTCGTTGAGGTCAACCCAACCGGAGTGCAATGGTCAGGCCTCGCCCAAGGTGAACCACCTTCTTGATCATGGTATCTCCCCTGCCAGGTAAGTATGAGTTGTCCAGCTCAGAGACAGGGACCTCTCTCACAGACACACCACACTGACTGACGGTGCTGTTGACAACTAACGTTACACTATCTCAACTGACGAAGCAGGAAGCACTTTGGACAGAATTATCTTTTAGAAAGATTTAAAATAATAATCAGTTGGAAATATTTGATGTGAATTCGCTTTAAATGACATTATAACGGCAGTTTGTTTCTTCTTCCCACAATGCAATGCTGTATCCCCACATCAACAGCTGACCTGAAATCAGCAGTTTGTTTCTATTTTACCTCCAACAAATGAACAACAGTCCAACAACAAGTTCAAGTGAGCCAAAGCTGAATCAAACTGCAATCAAAGGCTGTTTGATCCACATTTACAATCCAGAAAAAAAGAACTAAAAACACTAAAAACACTAAAAACACTTTTTCTCCCACACTTTACAACCACTTCCTGTTTCTTTGTCTCCCGGGCAACGGGGCCGTCCTGTTACTGCCACCTACTGGTCTGGAGTGAATCAGGATTTTAACAATAAAGTTCAACAGCAACACAAACTGCAGCCTCTAAAATGATCATACAGTTGAATCAACACAAACTGAACATTATAACCTCCATTAGAGGAGGATTTATTACAGAGTTGTTGTATTAGACTGCATTAGTTTCAGCTAGGTCGTCCTAATTTAACACAAACTGTCATAATTCAGCTAAACTCTATCTGCCTTCTGAGGACATGCAATCGAGGACCACTATCCCCAAATCACACAGTAAATAGGGGTTTTAAACACATGGACTTTATCTAAATAAACTAAAAAGGAATTTAAGGATCTGATTTTTGAAAATTAAAACACAGTTCCCAAAATTATTCCTCCACTCTTTCCATCCTTGGTTCTTTAAACATATTGACCTGATATCTAAATCTGTCATCCTTTGTAAAATGTTGAAGATCAAGGCCCAAAACAATATTAAATAACCACAAATGTTCCCACAACAGCGGCTCTGTTCATAAGTACAGCACTCTACAACAATCAGCGACAGCATATAGCTTCTCAATATGTTCTTTATTCTCCCTTAGGAGTGAACAAAGGGTTAAAAAGCTGCACACGTTTCCTGATAACGCGCTGAAGCAGCAGAGGTGTGTAACTCGCAGTAAGACAAGCTGAGATTAACATTAACATCTGTCAGCTGCAAAAGCCAAAACCTTCCACCTCCAGTTCTGCTGTTATTCATAGGAGCTGACTGGGAGCTATTTCTGTACGGGACTGCAGACGGGCTCGTGCTACCCACCCAACCAATAACAACTATGTTAAAATCTGCCTTTGCATTAGTAAACACCAACAGATTAAACACAATTATAAAAAGGACTTGAAATGCAGTTTTGAGAAGTTTTTAAAGATATAAAAGGAAATCATGAAGCGAAGGTCTGCACTGCTGCTTACCCGTTCTCGATGTCAACAGTCTGGACACACCTCCTGAAATGATTCTTCCTCCTGTAATTAAAGAGAAACACAGCTCAGTTTAATCAGATACACACAAACACTAACTTTACCCAACTTGTAGAGATGATCCACAGATTCTATGGCGATAAGAATAAAACCATAATAACAAAGTAATGTTCTTAAATGTATAAAATAATAATAATAATAAACTCTGAAGGGAACCAGTCCAAACACATGTTCTAGTATAAGTGTAAACTAAAACTATTAAAGTGTGGAATGAAGAATCTGAACTGGTGCTTCAGGACTGCTTAAACAGTACAGAATGAGACAAGAGACAATACAGACTGAAGCTGGAGGGATATTACACCACCGCTGATCCCCGGAGCGTGACGCAAGGTCTGCAACACATCACAGACTACAAACAGAAGAGTTTGGGGGCCTCAACCAGCAGAGTCACACTACCGGGTGAGCTCAACGAGTTCTACGCTCGTATCGAGGCTCTCAACGCCAGCCGACAGGGAGAGATTCTGGCCACCGAGGGCAAACTGGACCCACCACTCTGTGCGTCACCGGTAGAGGTGCGCTCCGCTCTGAGGAGAACAAACCCACGGAAGGCAGCTGACCCAGATAACATCCCCGGGCGTGCACTCAGGGTTTGCTCATCAGAGCTGACGGAGGTGTTAACAGACATCTACAACCTGTCCCTCGCTCAGGCCTCGGAACCCACCTGCTTCAAGTCCACCACCATCGTGCCCCTCCCAAACAAGGACACTGTGACCTGTCTGAATGACTATCGGCCTGTCGCACTCACTCCAATTGTGATGAAGTGTTTTGAAAGGATAGTCATAACACATCAAAAGGCCATCCCGGGCCACCTTGGACCCCTTACAGTTATCATAGAGACAGAATCGTTCCACAGACGATGCTGTCAACGCTGCCATCCACACTGCCCTCACACACTTAGAAGCCAACGACACGTGTAAGAATGTTTTTCAGCTCGTCGCCACTTCCGGGTCACGTGTTGTCTCCTAGTCCAATCAGACGCTTTCAGCAACGTTACAACCCAAATATATCACTATATATATATATATATATATATCACTATTTATATATAGAGATCACTATTTATATATATATATATATATATATATATAAATAGTGATCTCTCTCTCTACAGATATAACTATTTCTATACATATAGATACAGTCATGGACGAAAGTATTGCCACCCCTGGAACCTTTCCAGAAAATGCACCATTTCTCCCAGAAAAGTGTTGCAATTACAAATGTTTTGTTATACACATGTTTATTTCCTTTAAGTGCATTGGGACGACACAAAAAAGCAGAAGAAAAAAGCCAAATTTGACATCATTTTACACAAAACTCAAAAATTTGGTCGGACAAAATCATTGGCACCCTCAACTTAATATTTGGTTGCACACCTTTTGGAGAAAATAACTGAAACCAATCGCTTCCTATAACCATCAACATGTTTCCTACACCTCTCAACTGGAATTTTGGATCACTCTTCTTTTGCTAACTGCTCCAGGTCCCTCAGATTTGAAGGGTGCCTTCTCGCAACAGAAATTTTGAGATCTTTCCATAGGTGTTCTATGGGATTTAGATCAGGACTCATTGCTGCCCACTTCAGAATTCTCCAGCACTTTGTCTCGAACCATTTCTGGGTGCTTTGTGCAGTATGTTTTGGGTCATTGTCCTGCTGGAACACCCGTGACCTCTGACGCAGACCCAGCTTTCTGACACTAGGCCCCACATTACGGGCCAAAATCTTTTTATAGTCTCCAGATTTCATGATTCCTTGCACACAATCAATGCACCCAGTGCCAGAGGCAGCAAAACAACCCCAAAACATCTTTGAACCTCCACCATATTTGACCCTAGGTACCGTGTTCTTTTCTTTGTAGGCCTCATTCTGTTTTCTGTAAACAGTAGAATCACGTGCTTTGCTAAAAAGCTCTACCTTAGTCTCATCTGTCCACAAAACATTCTCCTAGAAGGATTGAGGCTTACTCAGGTAGTAAGTCTGCAGGACAGCCTGAATTTGTGTGGAAGTTGACTGAGGTTGTTTATCCACCATTCGAAATATCCTGCGTTGCATTCTTTCATCAATTTTTCTCTTCCGTCCACGTCCAGGGAGATTTGCCACAGTTCCATGGGTTATAAACTTCTTGATTATATTGCGCACAGTTGACAAAGGAACTTTAAGATCTCTGGAGATTGACTTGTAATCTTGAGATTGTTGATATTTTTCCACAATTTTGCTTCTTAAGTCCAAGACAATTCTCGGCTCTTCTTTCTCTTCTCCATGCTTGGTGTGGCACACACAGGCACGCAACACAAAGGTTGAGTCAACTTTTATAAACTCTAACTGGCTTCAGTTTCAATTTCTATATTGCCAGCACCTGTTACTTGTCACAGGTGAGTTTAAACGAAGATCACATGCTTGAAATGAAATTATTTACCCACAGTTTTAGTAGGGCGCCAATGATTTTGTCCAGTCGATTTTTGTGTAAAATTATGTCAAATTTGGCTTTTTTCTTCTGCTTTTTTGTGTTGTTCCAATGCACTTAAAGGAAATAAACATGTGTATAACAAAACATTTGTAATTGCAACACTTTTCTGGGAGAAATG